AGGAAGGAAGGAAGGAAGGAAGGAAGGAAGGAAGGAAGGAAGGAAGGGAAGGAAGGGAAGGAAGGAGAAGGAAGGGAGAGAGAGAGAGAAAGAAGAAAGAAAGAAAGAAAGAAGGAAGGAAGGAGGGACGGAATGTGGAGAGACGCTCTGAGAAAGCCAGGCTAGGGCGGAATGAGGCTTCGACGAGAATGCCGTGAGCATCTAACGCCACGCTGGGTGTTGCCTATTCGCAGGGGAGTGAATGCCCAAACCAACAACGGTGCCACGCCCCTGTACCTGGCGTGCCAGGAGGGCCACCTGGAGGTGACGAAGTACCTTGTGCAGGAGTGCAACGCAGATCCTCACGTGCGCGCCCAAGACGGCATGACCCCACTGCACGCCGCGGCGCAGATGGGCCATAACCCAGTGCTCGTGTGGCTGGTGAGCTAGGGACAGCGCCCGACAGCTCTGGGCGTGGGCGGGGCCTGCCTGGGACTGAGGCGGGGCGGGGAGGGGCCTAACGAAGCCACGCCCCCGCCAGGTGAGCTCTGCGGGCCTGAGCTTATCGGAGCAGGACCAAGACGGCGCCACGGCCATGCACTTTGCTGCCAGTCGCGGCCACTCCAAAGTGCTCAGCTGGCTCCTGCTGCACGGCGCAGAGATCTCGCAGGACCTGTGGGGCGGGACCCCCCTGCATGACGCCGCTGAGAACGGAGAACTCGAGGTCAGGGCGGCTGAGAGGGCGGGGTCGGGAAGTGGGCGGGGCGGGGCCAGATGCTCGGGATCGGCGCCCTCTGGCGGCTGCGGCCTTTCTGCGCTTCTCTGGCGTGCCGGCGGCGGGCGGGGACCCAGCTCTCCGTGGGGTGCCCTCTTCACGCTCCGTCCCCCTACAGTGCTGCCAGATCCTCGTGGTGAACGGCGCGGGGCTGGATGTCCGCGACCATGATGGGTACACGGCTGCCGACCTGTCTGATTTCAATGGCCACTTGCAGTGCTCCCGCTACCTACGGACCGTGGAGACCCTGGTACGACCCAGGAGTGGCTGGCTGGTGTGGGAGTTGCGTCACCATTTAGCCCCAAGAATAAGTGTCTTGCCCTTTTACCAAGAAGGAAGCTGAGGTCCGGGGATGTGAAGCCTCTTGCCTGAGGTGGTACAAGAACTAAGCGTCCTTGCTCACTGCTTGGCACCATTGCCGGGGGCCCAGCTCATTTTTCAGCCACCCACATGTATTATCTGATTTAAATCTTAACAGACCCTCTCCTGTAGAGTGTGGTCATGGTCCCATTTCACATATGGGAAGCCCAAAGGTCACACAGCCAGTAAATGGTGGGGTCCAATGGCCGGGCTTACCTATGACCTACCTTCTTTTTTCTCTCCTCCTTTCCTGCCGAGGATTGAACCTAGGGCCTTGGGAATGCTAGGCAAGTGATTTACCATTAAGCTATGCATGCAGGTCTTTCCCCATCTGCCTTTTAAATTACTTTGAGCTTGCTAAGTTGCCCAGGCTGACCTCGAACTTGTGGCCCTCCTCCTATAGCCTCCTAAGTAGCTAGGATTACAGCCATGCACTATAGTGCCTGGATGGAGCCACCTCTCTTGACTAGTACACATTTGCTCACTTTGTAGTTAATTCATAACCATAAAACAGTGTGACCCCTGTAAATTATTGTATTGTATGCTTACAAAGCCGTGAGATGACCAATCAGGGCTCCGGCTAAGGGGCAGCTACCGCCCCAGCTAGTACAAGGCTACCTCAGGGCAGTAGAGGAGGAAGAACATAGGTCTTATGGCCCCCATCAGAGGTATGCTGTCTCCAGGGCCTAGCCCAGCCATGAGAAAGGCTGGGGCCTGGAGGAGAGAAGGCGATGGCCCTGCTCTGTTTGCTAGCGTGTGGCTGTGACGCTGGCTGGGGTCTGAATAGTGCAGCAGGGCCTAGGGGTCAAGCACAGCTGAAAGGCTGGGGATGAACTTCTGGAACAGGCCTCCCAGAGTGAGCAACAGGTCACAGGTATCCCATTGCTGGGGCGCGCGAGCAGGGGTGGACACTGTGGGGTCTCCATCTGCCCCAGGAGTCCCCTCTGGCTGAGTGTCTCTGAGTGTGTAGCCCCAGAGCCCCGGCACCTCCTGAGAGCCTGCCAGGCTGCAGCTGCTGACGGTGGTTCAGCCGTAAGCACCACTGTTGAACCCTGACACTGGCAGGTCCTCTGCCCTGTGCTTCGCAGTTCATCTTTGCCGCATTCCTGGTACTTTACGCTGAAGGCATGTACCAGGTACCCTGCACTGGCCGGCCCCCAACTTTGAACACCCATGGAGCACATACTGTTGATGGCCACTTACACATAAGAAACTCGGGTGTAGAAAATATTGGGATATAATAGTACATAAGAGGCTCACAACCCCACAGTCAGTGAGTAGAGAAGGGGAAGTTAAAGGTGTAATTCCGGGCTGCAAAGCCTGTGCCCAGCTTCTAACTTCTGTGGTCCACAGAGGTCAGGGCTGGGTCCCTGTGCTGCCCACTAATGTTAGCCAAGAAAAGAGCACCCCAGGTTGTCTCCCCCTCCCCTGTGCCCAGTCATCTTCAGGGCCTCACCTTTCCTTCACAGGGTACGTAGGCAACAAGGCCTGGATCCCTTGATGTGATGGGGTAAACAGCAGGATTTGGTCTCCTTACCCAGGCAGGCCCAGCAGCAGCAATGACAGATCCAAGCCATGGAGGTAGCTGCCCCAGAAAAGGCAAACACTAATTACAGGGCCAATGAGCCTGGCTGCTGTGCCGTTACCTGGTGCCAGCCTGCTTCCCTCTCCCAGGGGGCCTGTGACACTTCTCAGGCAGGGAGGGGCAAGGGGCAGGGAGGAGCAGCTTTAGGCAGGAGGCAGCAGAGGAGCAGGCTTGCCGGGGCAGGGACAGCATGGGCAATGTAAGTGGGTCCCTCACCCTAACGTGCTCCCAGTGGACAGGGACAGGCCTGCAGTCAGAGGCCCGGCCGGTGGGAGGGAGGAGAGAGAGTTGGCAGCTTCAGCTGGGGCATATCCTTTGGGCCCAGGCTTCCCTGCCACCCCCAGCATCCCATGAGGAGGTGGACTGGCCTAGGTAGGGAGCCAACAGGCCAAGTAAGTTAAGATGGGTTGCAGCCAGTGGAAGGTGAGTGTCCCCTTCCTCCTGCAGAAGCAACCTCTGGGGCCCTTTGCTCACAGATGCATAGGAACCAATGCCTTCTGCCCACTGACAGTGAGGACAGCCTGGCACAGAGCTGTGCCCCCTTGGAGGTGCAGCCCAGACCCTCCTTCCCAAGTCTGTGCCTCCCTGAGCATGGGAGAGCCAGGTGGGCATTTCTCTGAGGCCTGAAGTGCTGCCTGGAGGGTCTGCTCTTGACCCCTATTCTGAGAAGATGCAGAAATGGTGAAGAAAGCCGGAAGCAGCTTGGCAGGTTTCTCAGTGAAGACTCGTGATCCCTGGCCTGGAGGCTCACCCTACAGCTTCCCTCCTTCCCCTTCAGAGCGTGGAGCACCGAGTCCTGTCCCGGGACCCATCCATAGACCTGGAGGCAAAGCAGCCTGACTCGGGCATGTCCTCACCCAACACCACCATGTCGGTCCAGCCACTGAACTTTGACCTTGGCTCACCCACAAGCACCCTCTCCAACTATGACTCCTGCTCTTCCAGCCATTCCAGCATCAAGGGTCAGTGCACTACTCGAGGTGAGTGGATTCGAGGAAGAGGAAGGAGAGGGGGAGACAAAGCACAGGCTGCTGTCTGTGTCACTTGTCTTAACGTGGGGGAGGGGAGGCAAAGAGCTGGTACATCCGAAAAGCCCATGCTCACCCAACACATGACTCGTGCTCTCTGTTCTAAGCTACGAAACTCAAAGGTGCACGTCCAGACAGGTGTGCAGGCATTCCTGTAAGCGCGCACAAGCACAGGTACACAGGGATGCAGATAATGTACATACATACATATGCCTCTATTACACAAACAGAAGCCCTCTATTTCCCTATCGCAGACATGGACACCCACAGACAAGGTTCCCCAGCCCAGCCCAGATTACACAAAATACAGAGGGGCAGGGTTAGGTACACACATAACAAAAGCCCTCAGACAGAGCCAGGAAAGGTGTGTGTGTGTGTGTGTGTGTGTGTGTGTGTGTGTGTGTGTGCGCGCTGACCACACCCTGAGCAGCAGCCCAACCCTGCAGTGTCTGTTTCCCACCACCAGGTGGCAAGCAGAGCTGGCTGCATGAAGCCTCAGGACTCCTGCCCTACCTGGCCAGGTGGTCCTACTCCACAGGACCCTGAACCCAAAGCTTCCAGAAGTGTCCCCTTGAAACCTGAGAGCACCACCCTCCTCCCAAGGAGGCCACAGCAAGCCATTCCAAGCAGTGACCCCAGTTAGCTTTGCTGCTGGCTGAGCTGGTCTGCAGTTTTGGGACACCTTGGATCTGGGGTCCATTCAGCAAACTTACATATCCTGCTTGCTCTTCCGCCCCACCCCCAGGGCTCCCGGGTGCAAGAGCTGCAGACTTACAGAGCTACATGGATATGCTGAACCCAGAGCTGAGCTTGCCTCAGGGCAAGACAGGGAAGCTGACACCACAACTGCCTTCTCCACCACCGCCGCCAAGCTTCCCTCCGCCACCGCCACCCCCAGGCACCCAGCTGCCTCCACCTCCACCAGGCTACCCAGCCCCCAGCCCCCCTGTGAGGCTGCAGGCAGAAAACATCTACATGCAGACCAAGAACAAGCTCCGCCACGTGGAGGTGGACTCCCTCAAGAAGGAGGTATGTAGAGAGGGGCCCCTGTTGCCTGGCGGGCCAGTAGCAGGACTAGGCTGACTGGCCTGATGGGGCACTGGCCCGGCTGGCTTGTGGTCACAAATCGGGCTCCCTGGGCCCAGGGCAAGCTCAAGAATTGAAGGTCCTAGGCAGGTCCAGGAGAGCTCAGCACCAAACACTGGGAATGGGCTGGGGGTGAGGTGCAAAGCCACCATTCCTAGTGAGGAGTTGAGGCTGAAGCACAGACACCGAGCCAGCAGGGCCCACTGAGGAGCTGTGCCACCCCGGGCAGGGTGGCAGGGCTGTCACGGCGTTAGCAGAAAAAGCAGTTATTGTGGATACCTATAGTGCAAGGCTCAGGTAGAGAATGCTAAGAATGACAGGAGGCAGCTGGTGCTGGCACATGCCTTCAGTCCCAGCGCTGGGGAGAGACAGAAGCAGGCGGACCTCTGAGTTTGAGGCCAGCCTGGTCTACAGAGCGAGTTCCAGGACAGCCAGGGCTACACAGAGAAACCCTGTCTCGAAAACAAGCCAACAAAACAGAGCAAACAAGGAAAGAAGAAAAGAATGACCCTTGAGGTGTCTTCCGGGTGAGGCGCCCTGGGGTTTGACCAGAAGGTGAGGGCCAGAGGTGGGTGGGAGGCTGAACACACACCAGCCGTCCTGCTACTCCCTGCCTGGCTAGCCAGGGGAGTAGAGGGTGAGGCTGGCTCCTCCTCCCACGGGGTGAAACAGGCTAGCGGGAAGGCTAACTCCCCTCCCACTCCATAACCTCCGGGTGGGTGGGGAGGAAGGGGTGGGAGAATGTGAGGGGCCAGAGCATCCGAGGCCTTTGGACGTTCGCCTAGAGCTGGGTCGCAGAAGAGGGGCAGATGTAGTAGCCGGCCCCAAAGCCAGGCTAGTGAGCGGGAGAGGTGAGGAGGCAGCCTAAGACCACAGGTGGCCAGAGTCCTGCCAGAGCCCAGACCTTGCGATTCTCTCCCCAGCCCAAGGCCCGCCACCCCAAGGTGGAGCTGAGTGATCAGTTTGCACAGGTGAGCCCGGCCACAGAGCCGCGGAGCGAGCGGCAAGGGAGGGACACCGCCCTCGCAGGGGCGCCGTCACCACCCACCTCCCTTCCGGCGCCGCCGAGCTCTCCCAGATTTCCTCTGAAGCGGGAGAGAGAGACGCCTGGCACGGCTCCGGGGCTTGCCCATAACCGTGCCCACTCCCCACCGCGGGGCCCGAGTGCCAGGGTTCCCCCAGTCCCCCCGGGGTGTGTTCGTGCAGCAGAGCAGGCGCTAATAGGCTCTACAAAGGGCCCTTTGTGCGGGAGTTGCGTCCTCAGGCGCGGGCCGTCTGAACTGTGGGCTAGAACTGGGTTGAGGGGTGTGTGCCTCCATGGCTGTAGTGGGTGCCGAAGGGGCTGGCTGACCCAGAAAACAAACCCGGCGTGTAGGTGTCGTGTTTCCTGTCACGTGAGCCTGGTCCGGCGGGGTGCGGAGGGTCTGAGGGCATAGCAGACATGCAAAAGCTTGGGTCTGGGTCAGGGGATCGCCCCCACCTGGTCAGTCAGTCTTTGGCCACACCGCCTCTTCTCCCTCGCCCAACGCAGGCCTTAGCGGGGAGCAACGGAGCGAGAAGTGGTTTTGTCACCCGAGCCCACCCGGCCACCCTTGAAACTGGAAGCCTGGGCCCGAGTGTGGTGTCGTTTACATGGCTAGCGACGGGTTCCAGATGCGGGAGGGGAAGGCCGGGGCGCGACCTGGAATGGGGGGTGTACAAAAATGAGCAGTTTCGCTGCCGGAGGTCAAGCCCTCTGACGGTCCTGCAAATGATTGGGGGCGGGCAGGATGAAGGTAGGGTACTCGGGGCTGAGAGGCGCAAGGGGCGGAGCCGCCCGTGGCCCCGGGCGAGCAGCGGGGCTCCTGACATCCCTGCCCGCTTGCGGGTTAAGCCTGGGATTGGCGGACCCTGGGTGATGTCAGGCCGACTGAGCTCCTAGGCGGGCCGCGGGCTGTAACCTGAGAGCTGGGATCAGGTAACGAAGGTGTCGGGTCCGGGCCGCCCCCGCTGCCAGGTGCACAGCGGGGGCCACCGGAACAGTCGCAGGTAGGAGCGCCCTAGGCTGTGGGGCACCTGAGCGAGCAGAAGCGTCCTTCCTACCAGCTCTAGGCAGGGGCCCCTCCAGACCGCGACCCCTACCAGAGAGGGTCTGAGGAGCCTTGCGCGCTCTCGAGCGGTTGGTGGAGCAGCTAGCAGGGCGCAGCGGAGCCCTCCGGCCAGGCGGGAGCTGTCCCAGCTCAGGCTCCCCCTGGCGTCCAGGCTGGGCCACCCCGCCCTCGGGTCCGCCCCTTCTGGCCTCCGAGGGGGCCCCTGTGCCCTTGGCCCTAACCCAGACCTCTCCCTGTGGGCCGGCCCTCTCACCAAGGTCCCCACGCCCCCTGCCCCATTTTGCACGCCGAACTGGGGGGCCCAGGGACTCGGCCGCGAGCCCCCCAGGCAAAGAGTGGGGAGGGAGGCGCGAGGGGCATCCGAGCCAAGCGCATCATCCGCCACTGTCTTCCTTCAGCCGAGCTCCCGCGACGGCCACTCGGGGCTGCTCAGGCAGGACCCGGGGCTGCGCAGGTACAACACTGGACTGCGCAGGCAGGACTCCAGCCGCAAACCGCGCTTGTTCAGCAAACAGCCCAGCACGGGGGACTACTACGGCCAGCTGGGCCGCTGCCCGGGGGAGCCGCTGGCCGCACGCCCGGGCATGGCCCACAGCGAGGAGGTGCGTGTCCACCAGCCCGCACCCGCGGGCCGCCCGGGCCCGGGCCCTGCCGCACCCTCCTCACTCTCTGGCCACTATGCTCCCCGCAGGCGGCGCTGCTCCCCGGGAACCACGTGCACAACGGCTGCTCGGCGGACCCCAAGACGTCGAAGGAGCTGCCCCCGCCGCCGCCGCCGCCGCCGCCGCTGCCCGAGGCCCTGAGCTCGCCGCCGCCCGCCCCACCTGTGCCCATCGAGGGCGCGGGCTGCGGGCAGCGTCGCTCATCGTCGTCTGCGGGCAGTGAGTAGGGACGGGAGAGGGGTGGGGGCGGCGCCAGCTGGAAAGGGGAGGGAGACCTAGAGACCACCCCCTCCCCAGCTGCGACTCCCCTGGTCCTTCCTTTTCCCGGGCTCTTCTTTCCAGACCCTACCCTATGGGTGATCAGGGAACAAAGTTTTGAGTCGCTCCAGTCCCACGGAAGGACTGGGCTGAGTGTGGCGCTTGGGGAGGTATCTGCCCTCTCTGGGCCTTCTCCTCTGTAGCTAGGGAGAGCTCCGGCTGTGGTGGCGGTGTTTCTGAGCAGCCTGCTGCAGGGCCTGAGTGGCTGCCCACTCTTTTCTTCCGTGCCCTGCATCTTCAGTCTCGGCCTTCCCAGCCTCCAACTCTGGTTCCTTCACACTAAGCGCTGCGCTGAGCTGCTCTCAGCTGTGACGGGACTCTTACTGATCGCTGTGCGTGGCTAGGAGGACAAAGACAGGTCCCAGCAACCCAGCACGTTTTCCTTTCCTTAGGCTTTGTGTGTGTGTGGTGATGGTGATCGTGAAAGACAACTCAGGGTGCCCCTCAAGCAGGCTAGGCACTCTCCACCCCTGGGCTTGGCATCCCTGCCAAGTTAGATGGAGACCAGGACTGCTGGACACTTCCTCCTGCCAGGGATCCTGGAAGGCTCTGGTTCTCCCATCCTAGTGAGGCAGGGCTCAGTGCAGAAACCATACTCGGTGGTTCCAGCCCAAGCTTCATGTCTGACCAGACTACCGGGGCAGTTCTTGAGGAGCCTGTGGTAGCGTAAGCACTCCTGGCTGAGCAATCCACCCATTAGCTCTCAACCGACCCCAGCTTCCCTGTCACCTCTCCTCCAGAGATTCCGGCTGCCCCGGCCAACTCCAATGCCAAGATGGCCTCCCTTAGAAAACTAGATGGACCACCCTTGTGGGGCCCCAGAGTGGCCTGAGCCAGGGTCACAAGGGCAGGAGAGCTCCTCCCCTCTTCTCCCCTCCTGCCCTCCCTGGTCCTCTTGCTGTCCTGGTTTCACCCCAGCCCCCGTTCCTCTAACTTCACTGTCAATTCTCTCCTCTCGGTTCCTAGAAGTGAGAGTCCTGAGACACAGGAAGAGTGAGTAGTTGCGCGGGCTCACTGCTAAGGCGGCTGAGGCGTGGGGGAGGTGGCTTGCCCAGAAAATGAGGCAGAATGGGCCTGGGGCTCAGGAAAGGGTTTGCTAGGGGCTAGCAGGTGGGAGGACCTGATACCCTGAGCGCCTATGACATCACAGCATCCAGTGCCCAGTGTGCCAGTTTGCTTAAGTAAACTGCATGAGCCGGTGGCATGCTCTCCTCTCCTGGATTCTGCCCTGATCAGCAACCCTGGCATCTAGGGAGCTTTAGTATCACTTTGTTCCTGCCCCCATCAGGGGCACCAAAGACAGCCTCCCCAAGTACTCCTTCACCTCTGCCAGCCCTGCTGGAAAATGCAAAGTCTGTCCAGGTATTTGCATGCCACTGGCCTGGCCCTTCTTCCTGCATGCCCTCTCCCATGTCCTCAGTAAGCTCTTCCTTCCAAGGTCCCCCAGGGGCCACACAGTGCTTTGCCATAAATGTATGCTCCGCTTTCGGCCAGTGTGTCTGCTGTCTGTCTGTGGGTGTGGTGGGGCCGGGGAGGGTCCAGCTGGGTGGCACTCCAGGGTCCTGAGTGTTATAGCCATGGAGGCTCCAGTGGCTCAGTCCAAGGGTCACTGGGCTTTGCTGATGAAGGGAGAGAGCCATAGGGAGACTCCGCCCTAGTGGGGCTGAGCCAGGAGAGCTGGGACAAAGGTTGGGTGGTTAGGCAGGTAGTGCTTGGAGCTGGGCAGTTGATGGTGGGCAGAGATCTGCTGGAGTGCCCAGGACTGGCCCAAGAGCCACCATGAACTCCCAGGGGCCTCCAGGTGGGGGCCGTATGCCCAGTGAGTAAGACCTGGTGGGGTCACCATGGCCTGGGAGCTGATAGGCCACCTTTGGGTACCCTGAAAGCTAACCTTTGGTATCCCAGGATCTGGAGAGCTGCCTCTGGGCCCAAAGGTGGGCCCCACCCATCTGGCTTGGGGAGGGGGCCCGGGGCAGGAGGGAAATGGGAATGCTATCCCACCACCAACTGAATACCTCTTCTCCTGTGGACAGGCACCAAGTCTTTCAACATGATGTCCCCAACGGGTGATAACTCAGAGCTGCTGGCTGAGATAAAGGCAGGCAAGAGCCTGAAGCCAACACCGCAGAGCAAGGGGCTGACCACAGTGTTCTCGGGCAGCGGGCAGCCAGCCTCCCAGGTAGGCGCTGGATGGGTGCCCCGCCCGGGCTCCCAGTGCCTGCCTGGTGCTCAGCCCCACCGCTTCTCCCGGCAGCCTGAGTCACCGCAGCCATCACCACAGCCATCGGTGTCACCTGCGCCATCTCGGCCCAGGAGCCCCACCCCGCCAGCCTCTGGGCCTCAGCCTCTGCTCAATGGCACCATAGTGCCAGCACCGCCTGCCACACCGGCACCGGGAGTTCAGCTGGATGTGGAAGCCCTCATCCCCACACTTGATGAGCAGGGCCGTCCCATCCCAGAGTGGAAGCGCCAGGTGATGGTTCGAAAGCTGCAGCAGAAGATGCAGGAGGAAGAGGAGCAGAGGAGGAAGGTGGGTGGGGTGCGGCGTCCTAGGAAGCCTTGGGGTCTGCACTAAGCACCAGCAAAGCCCATCACCCTTGGGAGATGCGGGAGTACAGGACTCCCTGTAATCGCTGGCTTCTCTCTTCCCGCCTTTTGCTGCCCTTTGAAGTGCACTGTCAATGTTTTCAAACTCTACTGTGCCTTCAAGCTACTTGGGGCCATATTAAAAGGCGGCCGTATTGTGCTTTGGGGGCATTTCTAGCAAGCGCCTAGGTGGACCACAGTGTGTGGCCAAGAGAGGCCTTCTTGAGCCCAGGCTGACTTGAGCTCTATCCTGGCATTGCCACTCTCCAGCTGCCGCTGTGAGACTTGTCCAGCCTCAGGTTCCCACATCTGTAAGATGATTTGGTCATCCAACAAAGGTTCTGTGACTGCCGTCTAGGTTCTGTGCTCATAGTTGTATCCCTTGAGGGTTCACAGTGACTGTATCAAAGCCTGCTATCAAAGGTGGCTGTGGAGGTGTGTGTGTGTGTGTGTGTGTGTGTGTGTGTGTGTGTGTGTGTCAACAAGCAAATAAGTGTCCCTAGGAGATGGTGAGAGCGAGTGACAGCTTGGGGTAACAAGCAACTGAGCTTTATGGTACTGGGTGGTCAGGAGCACCGTGGACCAAGGTGCCGCTCAGATGGCTGCCAGCTGTGGCTGGGGTGGTGGCAGGGTAGCAGGAGGTGATGGGGCAGCCTGGGGTGAGAGGGAATGGGAGGCTCACGGGAGTCAGTTAGGAAAGAGGGGGGTGAGGAGAAAGGCAGGCAGAATGGGCTGGTCTGGAAGTCACAGGGGCTGTGTCTCTGGGCGAAATTTGGTACATGTGATGGATGGTGAGAGTGAGGCTCAGCAAACTTTGAGAATGGGCCCTGGGGCATGGGACACCTGGGGACAGTTAATTGGGGAGGCGGGGTCATCAGATCTGTGTGGGAAGTGAACTGTACCGGGTCTAGATGGATCTGGCTCTAGAGGGGGAGCTGGCTCCCATTTTCTGGGCTAGGAGACTAGTTTTAGCCTCTTTAAGAGTAGAATAGGGAGGCTGGAGAGATGGCTCAGTGGTGAAGAGCACTGTCTGCTTTTCCAAATGGACCGGGGTTCAACTCTCAGCTCCCACAGCTATCTGTACCTCCAGTTCCAGGTGGTCTGACACGCTCACACCAATGCACATAAAATTAAGTAAATTATTATTTTTTTAAAAAAGTGAAGTGGAAAGCCGGCACAGTGGTGCACACCTTTAATCCCAGCACTAAGGGAGGCAGAGGCAGGCAGATCTCTTGTGAGTTCGAGGCCAACCTGGTCCACAAAGCAAGTCGAGGACAGCCAGTGCTTGATGCAGAGAGAAACCCTGCCTCAATAAATAAATAAACAAACAAACAAAGAGTGCACTGGGGCGGGGCAGGGGAAGAAAGAAAGGGGAAAAAAGCGAAATGGCCTTTCATCTAGGCATGTGAAACATTGAGCGCTGGGACTAGGCGGACTTGGAGGGCAGGAAGCCTGAGAAAGGATTTGTGATCGGATGACAGGAGAGGAACTCTGGGGTCTGGCTTGAAACTAGCAGGCTGTGGATCAGGTAGGGGAAGGCCTCGGAGCCTCTCAGCTTCAACGCCTTTCGCCTTTCGCACGGTCTTTGGCTGGTGTAATGAGCGACCGAGCCTGGCCGGGAGAGCCGTTCTGCGGGCCTGCCTTCCCCGCCCCAGCCAGTGCTCTCCACCAGCGACCAAAGCGAACACTGCTGAGAGTCGGGAGCGGAAGCCTTCCAGCAGTGCCATCTCGCGCCAGCCAGGCGGCGGGTCCCTGCACGCGCAGCCCAGCGGAGCCATTACACCACCCAGGACTTGCAAAAGGTCGCCGCCGGCTCTCCTGCGGGAGCTGGGCCAGAGGGAGACGCGTCCCCTCCCCTCTCTTGTCTCCCCCCTGCCTTAGCTGACCGCGGCCAGCCCCTGTTGCTACCCCCCGGAGGGCTGGAGGTACTCCCGTGAACACAACGCCATCCTGGGGCCCTTTGGCGAGCTCATGACCGAGGCCGACATCCTCCGCATAGAACAGCAGATTGAGAACCTCCAGGTGTTGCACAAGGCAGAGAAACTGGAGGCGCGCCTGGAGCAGCTGGAGCTGGAGCTGCAGCAGCTGCTGCCAGTCTCGGCCGCCCTGTCCGCGCCGCGCTTCACCGTCGACCCACGGCGCATGCACGGCCGCGCCGCCGACCTGCCCGCCTGGTGCAGCAAGATCTCCACGCTGCTCAAGAGCATGGCCACGCTGCTGGCCGCGCTGGGCGGTCGGCCCGCGCACCTGGCGGAGCTTCTGACTGCGGACACCGGCCAACCGCTGGCGCCGCTGCCGGACGCGCCCTCGAGGCCTGGCCCGCTCTGTCTGGGCCGCTCCCATTCCCTCAGCTGGTGCCGGGAGGCCGTGGCCCGGGAGATCCTCGAGTGTGGCGTCTCGGTGCAAGACCTGCGCGCCGCCTACGAACTGCGCGCTCAGGCCGCGGCGCCCGCCCAGAGCCTGCGCCGCAAGCTCCCTCAGCCCGCCAGCACCCCGGACCGGGAGCCCATCCTGGAGGAGGACTACATGGCCATCGGTGCCAGCGAACCGAGAGCCCTCATCGCCAATGGCCTGTGGGCTGCAGAGGAGCCCCTGGGCTCTCTGGACCCGCCCGAGCCGTGGCTCCGGGAGGACGCCCTCCCGGAGCCGGAGCCGCTGGCTGGCAGGCCGCCGCTCTCCGCTGAGCTGCCCAGCGTCCAGGACTACATCGACATGCGCAAGGAGCGCATCGTCTACCTCTTCTTGGAGCACTGGCGTAAGTGGACCTTCCAGGGACCCGGGCGTCATGCCCAGGCGCGCCTGCGCAGACTGCTACCCCGGGTGGTGGCCTCCGGCGCCAATCCCCTCCCTGAGGCAGAGGACACTGTCCAGCAGCGACCAGCTGGTGAGGCCCCGGACAGCGGCCCTGAAGAGCGGCTACTACAGCTGCTGAAGCAGCGGCAGGTGGTAGGCAAACTGCTGGGCCACTGGAGGAGCCTGCTGAGGCAGGGGCCCGCGCACCAGGCGCCCGGCCCAGAGCTTACACGAGGTCTGTACTGGCCAGAGCACTTCCTGCCGCCGCTCGACGGCGCCCCGCGGAGATACGACAGTCTCACCCTGGATCTCTTCATGTTAGGCTACTTCCAGCTGCTGGAGATGGGCCTGAGCCGCGAGGAACGGAAATTCCGCCACTTGCTGTGCTATGAGATGTTCGACCGCCTGGGCAGCCACCCGTGGGAGCTCATCCGCCAGTTCCACCGCGCAGTGCTTGAGGAGGTGGAGGCCGGCACTCGAAGCTGGGAAGATGGCTTTGAAGACCTCAGGCGTCAGTTCTTTGGAGACAGCCCAGAGTCCGAGCCGGCTCCGGAAGAGGCTCGAGAGGAGGAAAATGGGGAGGAGAAGGAACAAGATCAGAAGGAAGAGAAGGAGGAGAAAGAAGAAGAAGAAGAGAGGGAGGAAAAACTTGAGGAGGAAGAGAAGAGAGAGGAGAAGGAAAAGAAAGAGGAGGAGGAAGACAAGGAGAAAGGGGAGAGAAAAGAGGAAAGAGAGGAGAGAGAGAAAGAGCCCACCGGAGAAGAATCCGCTCCTGCTCAATCACAGGGCCCACCACAGGGCCAGTCAGAGGACTTAATCCCTGCACTTCCGGGGCCTCCCACTGCCCCTCCCCCAGCCTCAGACCTGCCTAGTTCAGAACCCCCAACGGAAGAGCCCTTGGAGCTGGTGTCTGAGATGGGCGAATTCAGCAATGAGGACATCTGCCGCTACATCGACCGGAGCTTCTCCTTTTGGAAGGGGAGGGAGGCAGAACTCTTTGACATCGGACAGCAAATGTAGGGTTTGGTTTTGTGCCTGGATGCCTGTCTGACATCTAGAGGCCAGAATCAGACAGAAAGAACCAGATTTTCAAGACACATGAGGTCCCTCGTGGGAGGAAGTGAGGCATTTGTGAGGTTGGAGGGGCGTGGCACACAGGAAGTCAGCTGTTTCTCTCTGTGAAGCCAAACAGCAGGAGCACTCTGAGTTAAGGCACTCTGGGTTCCCTGGTTTTCCGCTGGGTCCGCAGCCACCGCCTTGAGCCACCTGTGCAGTGGTCTGTGTGGTGTGTGATGTGCACAGACCCACCTCTTCTGTACCATCCAAGGAATAAAAGCACTCTGTTACAGGCTGTGTCGCTACCCTCTCCCCATGTCATTATAGCCCCATAGCTGTGGAACAACCTAGTCGCACTAAGAGCAAGTATGGGCCCGCAGGTCCTCCATAGTGGGGAGCCGGGGGCAGTCTGGGCCTCCCCGAGAAGACCAAGTGTGTGGCACAACTCTACAGCTGCCTCGAAATGCTGGAAGACAGACTTATGGCCATCAGGCTCTGTGGGCCATCAGGACCCAGCTACTTTTCTGTCTGTTCCCCTTAACCTCCTCTGATCTGAGTGGCTCCACCTCCAGGAAACTGGTTGGGTCACTGGGGAGCAGGAGGCTCCTTCTGAGCTGACCGTCACCAAGCAATACCTGATTTACCATGGGAGGCCACCAAAGAGGTCTTTTCTTGCAAACATATCTATATTCTGCCAGCCCTGAAGTCTCCATGTCCCCTGGGTGGGATGTGTGTGGCCCCAACCTGAGAATTGGGGCCAGAATTCAGGTCAAGCTGGTCCTGAAGCTGTATGGTTGTGTTTTAGGAGGAAGAGGAAGAGGCCCGGCTGGCCAGCCTGCCTGCCTGGAGACGAGACATTCTTCGGAAGAAGCTGGAAGAGGAGAGGTGGGTGTCTGGGGGAGGCTGCCTGGCATTGTGTTTTGACTGTCTCTGAGGTTGTGTGGCCATCTAACACTGTCTCTTTCTCCTTCCAGGGAGCAGAAGCGGTAAGTACGGTACTAGTCCAAACCTGCTTCCTCTTCCTACACCCAGTCCCGGAGGCTTGTCCCTTGGCAGCCTCATCCAGCCCATCATTCAGTCCTTGTCCCATAACCTTTCAGCTCCCAGTAATAACACAAGACCCTTAATTATTTAGCACCTGTCCCTCAAAGTCTAGCTCTAACGCTCTGATTACATTCTTAAGTTACGTAGACCCCGTCTCCTATTAGCCTAGCTTTCACCAAGTGTCTTTAGCACATACCTTTAGTCCCATTTGGTAGGTAAAGGCAGGAGGATTAGGAGTTCAATGCCATCAGCCAGCTCAAGGCCAATCTGATCTTGTCTCAAAACAACAATGACAAAAAAACAAAAACCCTGCCCACTCTAGCATACAGGACTTTTTTTTTTTTTCTTTTTATGGGGGTGGGTAAAAGAATGAGTGCAGCAGGTGCCTGTGGAGGTCAGAGGTATCAGATTCCCTAAAGCTGGAGTTACAAGTGGTTACAGCCACCCAATGTGGCTGCTGGGACTCAAACCTGGGTCAATCTTAAAGGCTGAGCCATCTCTCCAGGCCCAAGGACAGTCATTTTAATCCCAGGACCAGTAAGTTCAATCATCCATGTGTTCCCCTCAACTTAATTTCTCTAGGGAATCTAGCCTGTGCCGTCAAATAGAAATATGATCTGTACCACATATGTAATTTTAGATTTTGTAACAGCCACACTGAGAATTTTTTTAAAAATAGAGGTAAACTTAAATTTAATACTTTAACCCAGTGTATGAAATTGGGTTAAGCATTTCAGTGTGAGAGATATTGCTGAGAGCTAGTGACACAGCTCAGTAGACTGCTTGCTTAGCACGCAGGAAGCCCCCAGTTCAGTCTCCGGTATTGCAGACATCTGGAGTCATGGGGCTGGAGCGACGACTCAGTGGTTAAAACACTTGCTGCTCTTTCAGAGGACCCAGGTTCAACTCCAAGAACCCTCAGGGCAGCTCACAGCCATCTGTAACGCCAGTCCTAAAGGATCCGGTGACACCAGGATCCTCCCTGGGCGCCGGCCACCCATGCCGTGTAGCGGCATGCGTGCAGGCAGAATACCCACACATGCAACTAAGTGAAACTGAAAACAAGATAACAACAACAAAACCCTGAAGCAATGGCACAGGCGTGTCATTCCAGAATGCAGAAAGATCAGAAGGTCAAAGTTAGCCTTGTCCACAGCAAGTGTGAAACCAGCCTGCAATACATCAAGATTGCCCCAGATCTCTCTCTCACACACACACACACACACACACCATATATATGAGGGTTTTTTTTCCTTAAAATTTTTTTAGTTCTCAAAATATCATGTGCATGCCAATTTGAACATTTCAATTGCCCAATAACCAAATATGATTAGTGGTGACCCGGTCACCAGAGCAGATCTATCCTTATGCTTTTTCAGAGTTGAGAATTAAACCTTGAGTGTTATTACAGGCAAGCACTCTACCACAGAGCTAACCACTGTCCCTAGCAGGCTGATGGCCTGGTCCCCAGTAATGAGATCCCCCAGCATCTCAACCCTATTCCCCCCCCCCCCGCCACTTAGATTGACAGCTCCCTAACAAGTCTTGTCTCCAATGACAGGCCTCCTGTCATTGATCCCCTGAACTCCGTAACATTCAATCCTCACACAGAGCCACCTAATGACCCAGCACCTCTTTCCAGTAACACTCTTCCACAAAATAATCCAACTCCACTTATCCCGCTCCTCTGAGTATCCCTCTAACTCCAATATGACCCCATGAAAGTCCTGGGTCCTCAGCAGAGTGGGCCCTGCCCCTTCCACTGCCATCCTGGTGTCTGGCCTCAGGCATCACTGAGTTTTACCACCCTTAAACAGAAGAGAGGAGGAGCGACAAAAGCAGGAGGAAATACAGAGGGCGAAAGAACAGTCAGAGAAACTGCGGACACTAGGCTACGACGAGGCCAAGCTCGCGCCCTGGCAGCGGCAGGTCATCCTGAAGAAGGGGGAGATCCCTAAGTAATAGGAGTCTCGGCCTCTGTCTGCAGCCGCACAAATTCTGAGAGATGGGGAGCGGTCCCCAGCCCCCGCCCCAACCTGTCAGGTTGGTGCGGAAGGGCTGGGAAACTTCCCTTCGGTGCAGGAACCCTCCCTACTCCCCTCCCTGGCCCCACACCCTCAGCCCTGCTGCTGGAGTACTCTCCTATAGCGCTGCTGTTGCCTGGAAAAAGTGCCCAAGCCGCTGACGAGAAAAAAAAAGAAAAAAGAGAAAAAAGATGCTGCTTATTTGCATGCTCACTTACATATATTTGCATGTTCATCAACCCAGCGCTGAGCTCTCCCCAGCCCCGTGGGTGGTGACTTTTCCCGCGGGGCGCATGCCCTTCTGCAGCCCCTCCCCCGCAGCCCTGAACCGCACTGCCGGCGGCGCATCCTGGGTGGAGGCCGACCCTGAGCTCGGGGAAGGGGTTTTCCTCCCTCCACGCCCCAGATCTGCGCTGGCCGGGGCAGCGCTGCATTTCTCATCCCCAGCGAGGGCTTCCTCTCAGTCATTTGTTTACCAGAAAGGATGAAACTTGCCTGTCGGGGCGGAGCTGCCGCTCCCGAGGGGCCCCTCTTTTACATCCCCCGCCCCAGCCCCAATTAAGCCTTCTGAGTCCCCAGCCAGGACCTTCGCTCCCCTGATCCTTTCACTGCCCCAGTGATGTGATGGAGGGCCAGGGACCCTGTTCTGACCACATCCCCCAACCCCTTCCTTTCCCCATTAAACCTCTATCCGCCAGCTGTGGCTCTCATTCACTCTCACTCGCCGTCCTAGTTACTTTCCCCTTCTGAAGCCACTTGGTTGTGGCGGACTCAGGAGGGCACTGGTTTCCACTGTGCCTCAGTTCCCGAGTTGTCAGGACCCCCAGCCCACTGAACGCCTGGGGAAACAGGGAAACAGCACCACTTGATACCCTAACCCCCAACTGAAACACCCACAAACTGCTTTTCTTAAGATATTTAATACCAAGTCCAAACTCAAGCTAATTAAGAGCTGAGCAACCATTCACTTGGTCCCTTCTGGTGTTTCTCATGATGCTTCCCTTAGCCGGAGCTCCGAGCTGCAGGTAAGCAGGGGTGAGGCAGCCGGCCCTGCTACGCAGGACCGTGCCGGTGGGGATGGGGGCCCTAGTAAGTGACATAAAATGTCTACACGCATAAGTAACAATACTTAAGGCTCCTTCAAGGGTCACTGGGATGTCACGGTGGTTCTGTGGGCCTCACTCACGGGCCGCGCTGCAGGCGGCTCCGCAGGTCCTCAGCACAGCCTTCTAGCCCCATGCGCTCCAGGGCTGCATAGATGGCACCCAGGCCCGCCGGCTGCTGCTGGCGCCAGCGCTTCAGCATCTCATACTGCTGGTCTCGGAAGCGGCAGATCTCCACTTCCACAGCCTCAATTTCCGCCTCCCGCAGCCCCAGCGTGCGCATGAACTCCTTCCACCTTCGGGCTGGGACGGCGTCCATCACGTCATAGAGCTGGGGACCGGGCTGGAGCAGGGCAGCCGGGGAGCCTGCGGGGGGCGCTGGCGAGAGCGGCGGTGCCAGAGGAGGGCCTGAGCGGGGCAGGGAGGTGAGGGTGCTGCCCACCAGAGGGCCTAATGGTCCTCTTTGGGCAGGGCAGATACCACCCATCGAGGACAGAGCCCCATCTTGGATTTGGGAAGATAGGGCGAAGCCTCCGCTGCTACAGCCCCTTACCGGGAGTTGTGTTTGACAGCTGATCCCAGGACTCTGAGGCCTGGTGGCAGGCCACCTCCTGGGTCGGGGAGGAACCACTGGCCCAGCTGTTGCCCACCAACTGGATGGTGGTGCAGACTTTCTCGGCACTGCCCGCCGGTGCCAGGAGGGTGTGGGCGCTGTCTGAGGCTGAGTGATGAAGAGTCTAGAAGGTGGGAGTCACCAAGTCAGCAATGTCTATCTAGGAAAGCCCCTTCGCTAGCCTCTGGGCAGGGGTGGACAGTCCTTGGCTCAGGCAGCAAAATGGCCTCCCATAGGCTCTGCGTGTACAGACACACCCCTGTGGCCCAGCAGCAGGCTACTGTGTTTGCCCGGAAGTCTGTCCCCCAATCCTTCAGGTGTCCATTGCTCTGAATTTTGGCCTGCGGCCCTTGTCTGACTCCAGTACACAGTCACTGAGAGCCAGTGCTGTGGATGGATGGTCCTTTCCACTGCCAGCTCTTAGCACATTTGTCTGTTAGGTCTAGCCTGTCCTAGCAATCATGATACGAGCCAAGAATCATAACCCTCCTGGTCCCAGAAGCCAGAATTCTTCCCAGTACGGAAAGAGTTACCTGTGGTATGGTCAGGGTCTCCGTCTCAGCTGTGTCTGCTAATAGAGATAGAGAGGGCCTGGTCAGCAACCAGGCAAGGCCCCTGGACTTTAGTGCCAGTCAGTGCCTCTTGAGTTCTTTTGCACCTAATACTCCGTCCCTCAGTTTCCCCTTCTGCATAAAGTTACAGGGCTCTAGAGCACCCGTCCTTACCCCAGGCCTCTAGTAATACATGTATGTAGTCCATGTATGGACTTACCGGGAACCGCAGGCTTACACGGCCGCCATCGGCAATATGCACAGATCAGGGTGGCCCCAAGAAAGAAGGCCCCTAGAAGCACCTGGACCCAAAATACTGAAAGAACAGTACCCGGTGAATGCCAGCTGGCAGCCACCCTACCCCACACTGGCCATCCCAGCCTTCCCGCTGTAATTCCCAGAATTCCCAGCATTGTCACCTACTGTGCTTCCAGCCACAGACCGCAGTGCAGGCCTCAGGACAAGGGCTGCTGAAGCTCCTGCTGAGGGAGAGGGGTGGTGCTGGAGGCGACCCAGGCCTGCCAGACACCTTCCCTACGCTGTAGGGGGTGGGCTTCCGCCCTGTCCCAAAACATTCCCGGAGTATTGCTGAAATGTCCATTTGAGTCACTAACATCAACCATCACTACTGAGCTTCTAGCTAGATTCCACAAGAAGTTTCTATCTCTAACTCCTGGGCAGTCCTAGCACCTAGGGTTAGTGTCTGGGTACAGCAGATACTCAAGGGCCTGGATGGACGAGCAAATAAGGCACCTCTCCCCTCATTACAGCCCAGGGAAGAACATCCCAGCACCCTCATGTTCAGAGGGAAAACATGAAATCTCAACTTGCCAAGGACTAGCAGCAAATCCAGTCTCAGCCTAAATTTCAAAGCTCTATCAGTATAACCAAAGAAATGACAAATCCATCCTAAACATGCGGGCAGAAGGGAGAAAGTGAAGATATGCCCCTTTCTGTATCTGCGTACCCCTTTACCACCCTGTTTGTCTGAAACGCCCCTCCCACGGCACAGCCAAGCTGCCCCCACCTGTATCTTTTCCCACCTCTAAACCCGCAGCACCTCTCCCAGAGTCCCCATCCCGCGCCCAGCCTCCCTTCCCTCCGGCCCAGGACAGCCAGCAAGTTACGTGGGACAGGACACGCAGCCATTGCCATGTTCATAGAAGCCGGACGGACAGGACCCTGCAGACCAAGAGATGGTTTGCGTCAGGACAGGAGGGCGCTCAAAGAAAAGGGCTTCGGGGCAGACAGCCCAGAATGGGGCACTCACGGGGTGGTGTAGTATCACAGTCTGAGCATGGGATGCAAGAGAAAGGTGAAGTGTCCACACATGGCTCCGTGGAGCAGTCAGGAAACCAGCCTGCCTCGCAGCCACAGTGGGTGTCTGACACCGCTGAACAGTTCTCCAGGGTCACTTGAAAGGCTGTCAGGAAGATGGGAATGCGACACGTCAGGGCTACTGACCTCCACGAAGTAGCTGAGGGTGGTCTCCCAGGAGAAGAGACACTGGCTAGCCCTACAGCTACACGCTAGCAGCTCACAGGTGGCCAGAGGCCGAGGCATGTGGAGGCAGCAAGGCCACTGGGGAAAGGAGAAAGGCAAACAGAAGCAGAGCACATGCTGGACTGATCACAGCGGCCTCTCTCCCAAAGGCTGGGCCCAAGCCCTCCTGAAAGGCCCTGGCTATTGCCTGGCCTCAAGAGTCCCCCGAGCCTTGGGCAGACCCCTCACCCTCTTCATCACACACTTGGCAGCGGGTACAGTCCGTCTTAGAGTGGTTTTCCCTGGCCAAGAAGGTGCCAGGAGGGCAGGGAAGGCAGGTGTTGTCGCCACAGGGCTCTGAGCAGCGGGCCGTCATGTAGTGTCCTGTGGAACCCAGGCAAAGGTTAGAGTCCAAGGCTCCTGGACCCTTCCTACCTACTCCCTGCCTTTTCCTCCCTCCCTTCCTATCCCTGGCTCTCTGCTTCCTTCCCACCTAATGTTGCCACCCCAGCCTCACTGGACCCCATCCCCAGCCTGCCTCACCTCCTCCCACCCCCAGCCTGCCCTCCTTCCCTTTACCCCTCCAGCCACTTACCCATTGGGCAGCCCCTGCAACAAAACGGCCCATACCTCTTCTGTGAATCACCGGCACAGTCACACCTGCCAGGAATGCTGCCCTGGCCCTGGCCATCAAGCAGCAGCAGCAGCAGCAGTAGAAACAGAGCCTGGGGAGCATGTGCTGCTGAACCCGGCCTGGCTGCCCCAGAAGGCAACCTCCCCGGCTCCCCCTCCATTCTTGAGGCCTGAGCATTTGCCTGACTGATTTATTGCTCAGGCTCCTGGGTGCCCATGGGCCTTCTCCCTGTCTACAGACCAGCTTATGAACAAAAGAGGAGGGCCCCTTGCCAGCCCTCTGCCCATTTCCCCTCCACCCAGCGAGATGGGGCCACCTTGGCCCCAGCCATGACTTCTGAGAGGTAGAGGCCCCCAGACTCCTCTTTCCCCGGGAGCCTGTGCTTCCTCTCAGCGGAAGGGCACGCCCGCCCTCTAACTAGGTCGTCGCTGGAGGCAACCCAGCCCTCAGGGAGGTCGGAGTTGAGCGCACCCCACCCCCACTCCCTGCAAGGCTGCAGTTCCAGGCTGTTTCCTGGCCTCGAGCGACCCCACTCACCTCCATCACACAGCCCCGCGGCCTTGGCTCCATGGCTCCAGCACCTCTGGTCGAGCAGCCCGGGGCTTCCCCACTAGCCCAGCCCCTGTGTTCCTAGACTAGAGCCTGCCCGCCCACCACCCGCGCCACCAAAACCTCCGCCTCAGGGGATGGCCAGGGTGGGGTCTGCCATTCTTTGGAAGGTGAGGGGATATGCCCCTCTACCAGACCCTCTCCACGGTGTACACTCCGCACCAGAGCTGACACAGGCTTTGCCTAAGGGGCAAGACTGCATCCTGACCCCATCTAGCTACAGCCCTGAGAACCATTACTTAGGTCCAGGGCAAGTGACTTTTTTTTTCTAGGCCTCAAGTACTTGGACAGCGGCAGGCAACCTAGGCAGGAGAACTACATCTCCCAGAATCGCTTACTATGCATGGTGGGATGGTCAAGGCCTAAGGAATAATCTCTAGGCTCTACAGTCTTTAAGATTCACCCAGGACAGGTCCAAGAAGCATTTCCTGGGGGTTCCCATTAATAGTGGCCTCCTGGCTGTGGTGGAAAAAAGCTTAGTCTTGGGATGTTGGCCCACAGTGTCTCCACAGGGTTCTTACTGCTGCTGGTGAGACACACAGGCCCCGCCCACCAAGCCCAGACCCCCTGCGCAGGGAACAATTGAGATTCCAGAAGCACAGGACTCTCCAGGGAAGTATATACAAGTCTTTATAGAAGAGCCAAACTCAATAAATACGCAGACAGAGCCCAGCCCAGCCTCAGAGGCCAACATGACCAGGAGGGAGGGCGTAGGCCGGGGTAGGGACTCGTCCATGAGTCCAATTGAGGGTGGCAGTGGGAGGGCAGCCTGGGAGCCTAGCCCAGAGGATTAGGGCCAGCAACGTCAAGAGCAGAGGACCAGGGGCTGCCTGGGTAAGAGGGTGGAGCATTGCAGCCAGGGCTGGAACTCTGCGGAGCCAAGCCCTTCTCCATTCCATCCAGTCTGGCAAAGTGCAAATTGGCCTTGGGGTGATAGGTGGCCGTCCTGCCTGGCACTCTGGCAGCAGTGAAGCAGGTGCCATGTCCCCTTGGAGGCATGTTCTCTGCTGTCCCTTAGTGGCACCCTTGGGAGGTCTCCATGCACAGAAGGCAGCAGTGAAGCAGGTGCCAAGTCCCCCAGGAGGCGGGCTCTCTGTTGTCCCTTGGTCAGTGGATCCTTAGGGGTCTTCTTCTGCTCACACTTCCCTGCAAAGAGTGGGGAGGAAGTCCGTTTTTGGTTGACAGCATTCACAAAATGGTTCTAGCTGCCCCTTCCCTGCTATCTGCTACAGATGGCCCCACCTGGCACTGGGCCAGGCCTACAGCTCCTTTTCACACTCCCTCCCGGAAGGCTGATGCCTGCAGTCAGGCTGCATCACTACCCACTACCAAGACTTGGTGCTACCCAGGCCATCACACTAAGTCATCTGTCCCTCCCTGAACTGGGCCACTCACGAGGCAGTGAGAGTGGAGTTAAGCAGCAAGGTGGTCCTGATCCGGTAGAGCTGGGCCAGCGTCAGCTTCCTGTGTTGAGCAGAGATCCCGGGGGGAGGCTCAGGCTGTACCCTGGGAGCCGCCCCAGAAGGAATTTCTCTGCATCTCCTTCTGGCAGAATCTGCAGGTTCCCCAGTCAGGTGGCTGGCTCTGTTCTCAGGTTCTGACAACTCAGGGCCTGGGCCACAGGCCCCTGGGCAACTCCAGCCAGGCCCACCTTCCTGAAGGGAGCTCTGAGTCCTAACCCCAGGGGTCACAGTGAGCAGGCACAGTTCCGACAGGCTTCGGCTGGGGGCTGGGGGTGCGATTCGGGTAGCACTTCCTGACAGCAACTGTAGGAGGCTAGCTTCCGATTTGGACTTGAGCAGGTGGGGCACACGAGGGAGCAGCTGGACAGGAGTACGGCGGCGGAGGCGGGGTGAGGGCGGGGGCGATGGGGTCTGTGACAGCTCTGGGGGCTGAGGCAGGGGCACTGGCTCAACCACAGGGTGTGGGGCCACAAAGTCTTGCAGAGAAGTGGGGGACAGGGTGCCATAGGCGGAATCCATGGAGCAGGAGCGGCCATCCACAGGCCCCAGGGGTAGCAGCTCACTGGTAGGAGTGATGGATGAAGCAGTGTTGCTAAGAGAGGTCTCGTCCGACTGGGAGCTGAAGGGACCACGGCCAAACTCTGGGGATGACATTGTCTCCCCAGGCTCCACCACAACCATGGCCAGGGTCTCAGTGGAGCCATCTGAGGCACTGTGGGAGCCAAAAAGACAGTCAGCTAGCCATAAAATACCTAAGAGCCTAAGCAGCCTGGAGCCCTAGCTCAGGTCTTCCAGGCACTATGGCCAGACATGGGTACCCCCCCTGAGTCGAGACACCTGTGCACCTTCACCTGTAGCTGAAGGCAGCTACAGGTAGCAGATCATGTTGAAAACCATCCTCCATGCCTGTACCCTAGCTGTCCCAACACTCCCACTGGGTTCACATGACACTATTCAGAGGGCAATCCCTGTGCCCTGGCCTAGGATACTTGTCCCAATGGGCCCTGCTGAATATTTTTATTTTGGGTGTGACATGGTCTGGCTGTAGTCCTAGAACTCACTATAGTCCTCCTGCCTCCACCTCTCACGCTAGGATCATGGCCATGTACCTTAGCTTTCTGGGTAGATTATATGTCTGCCTGTCTTTCTTATTCCCCCACCCCCTTCTTGAGACAGGGTCTCACTTTGTTGTCCAGGCTGGCAAACACTTAAGGTAATTCTCCCGCTCCAGCTCTCAAGTGCTGGTGTTATAGGCCCCAAGCTTCCTGTGTCGTCACAGTAGACATACCAGTGCTGGGAGCTGAGGCTGCTGTTGCTCTTTCGAAGGATGGTGGGGGAGCTGGCAGCCGAGGCGCTGCTCTCCTCAGCCTCCTCCTCCTGCTCATCTTCCTCCTCTTCCAGGCTCTGCAGGTGTTGGCTGCCCGGATGCTCCTGCGCACACAGCTGTGCCCGAAGCTGCTGCAGCTGGTTCTGCAGGTGGAGTGGGCACAGCCGCAGAATGAGCTGTGAGCAACAGACCTCATCTGCCCGGCACCCGTGTCACTCTGCTCTCACCTGTGCGTTGTAAATAGTGTCCACCCAGCTTCGGCACAAGGCCTGGCTGCTGGCCTGGAAGGTGTAGGCCCCCACAGCACTGTGGAACTCATTCAGGTAGATGAGGAGGAAGGAACCTGGTTACAGAAAGGCCAGGTCAGTACTGGTCCTGCCCATGGCAGCACTGTGACCAGGAGCAAAGGGCAGAATTCCTCACCAGGGTCCCGAAGCTCCCGGCACACGATCTTGTCCACCAGCAGTGGTGGTCTGATGACCTTCGTCCTCTCTGCTTTCTTCACGGCCTTAGTCACCAGGAGCAGATCCGTGAATAGGAAGCAGTACACCTCCATCTGTGGGGGCAAGCAGGAGTTGCAGGCACAGACAGGAGCAAGAGGTTTGCTGCAAACCTTTGTTTAGTTTTTAAAGATTTGTGGGGTTTTTTTAACCTTCATTTTTATGTATATGAGCATGTGCCTGCATATATCAATTCCATGTGCATGCCTGGTGGCTGCGGGATCCCATGGAACTGGAGTTACACTTAAGAGGCACCACGCAGACGGTAGAAACTGAATCCAGGAAGTACTCGTAACCGCTGAGCAATCTCCTTCTTGGTTTTGTATCCATGTATGCATTCATTAGTGGGGCACACAGGGCCTGTGCTCTCCTCTGACCCAGGGACCAAACTCAGATAAACAGACTTGGTGGCACTTGCCTTTACCCTCTGAGCTCAACGGACCTTGGGAACTCAGTTTTTGTCAAACACCTCCCTTTCTCATCATGAGCCTTAAGTTGTTTTTTAATGAAAGGCATATCATTTAATTTATATACTTTATGTATATAGGTGCTTTGTCTGCACACCAGCAGACAGCATCAGACAGTTGTGAGCACCATGGGGGTGATGGGAGTTGAAGTCAGGACCTTTTGAAGAGCACTGAGTGCTCTTAACCACTGAGCCATCTCTGCAGCCCTGAGCCACAAAATTATTATTTTCTTAAATCAGAGATACACGTGAGTGTGGTGGCAGAGGGAGGCAGATCCCTGTGAATTCAAGGTCAGCCAGAACTATTATGATACCCTGTCTCCAAAAACAAAAATAAAAAAGAGATCCACATTTATTATTTATCTCAATCATAACACATAAAAAAAAAATACAGGGCTGGAGAGATGGGTCAGAGGTTAAGACCTCCGTCTGCTCTTCCAGATGTTCTGAGATCAATTCTCAGCAACCACATGGTGGCTCACAACCATCTATACTTCGACCTGATGCCCTCTTCTGGCCTGCAAGTGACCTATAGAGAGAGCATTCATACATGTAAAATAAATAAATCATTAAAAAAAAAAAAACAATATGTGGGCTGAGTGGTGGTACACACACCTTTAATCCCAGCACTTGGGAGGCGGAGAACAGAAGGAGGTTTGTGAGCCTGAGACCAGCCTGGTCTACATAGGGAGTTCCAAGCCACCCAAGGTTACAGTGAAACCTTGTCTCAGAACAAACAAACAAAAAAAGCAGAATAGCAACAAGATACATTCAAAGCCAGCCTCAACTACTCAGTGATTTCTGAGGGAAAAGCATGCTAGGACTGTGACAGCACTCTAGAGGGTTTGCTCAGCTCTGCTGAGGGCCTGGACTCAATCCACCATAAAAACAGGAGAGGGCGGCTGGAGAGACGGCTCAGAGGTTAGAGCACTAGCTCTTTCAGAGGTCCTGACTTCAATTCCCAGCAACCACATAGTCCCTCTTCTGATCCCTGCTTCTGGCATGCAAGAGTACATGCAGACAGAGCACTCACATAAACAAATAAACAAATAAATAGATATTTTGAAGGAGAAGAAATAAAATAGGAGTTGATGTCAAAATCATCATTTGCAAGCATTTACCGACCACCTCAGTGGCAAGGTTCTGTGGCCCTGAACCATGTGAACTTTAAGCAGGCACCCTCACTAGGACATCTGTCACGGTTCTTAGGTCACCATGCTGGTTACTTT